AGAAAATGTGTACATTATTGAGTGAGCTGGATTTTGAAAGCATTTTGAGGGTATCTTTGAGAAAAAACCTCAGTGGGAGCATCAGTATGTGTTTGGCTCACACTTAAGTGGTCAGAGTTGTCCATAACCCATGAAATCCATACTCGGATCTCAAGTCTGCTTTCTGATATTTAAACCTCCCCTACTTCTTCTTGCTACTCTACAAATAAGTGGAATAAGAGAATGCAAAATTCTCTCTGCTTATAGCAGATTCATTTAGTCTGATTGTACCTGAATACAAGACATTACATTGATCCCTAGTGCATTTCATCTTATTAGATTCAGCTTAGAGTTCTAATCTGTCAAGATCTGATTGGATCCTGGCTCTGTCATCCAGTGTGTTAGCTATCTTTCCCAGCTTGGAAGTCATCTCCAAGGGAGGAATATTCCTCCTTCTTAACAACAACAAAACAAGTCACAACATTTTAACTAGAAAAGAGAAGAAAAAGAACCAAAACCTGATTTTTTTTTTTTTTAGTTTTGGGGATTGTAGGCCTCTTCTAATTTGCTTATCTTCTTTAGAATTTCAGAACAATTCTTTCTCACTAAATTAAAAAAAATTATTTTATTCTGACCTTAAGAAATAAAACAAGTGTTTCTATAACACAGTAGAATAGGAAAAAAAGATGATTGCACATGAAACTGCAAATCTGTTATATACAACTTGCTATTCCTTTTAAATATATAATAGTTATCATGTAACTTTATTTTTTGTGTGCTTTTTTTGCTCCTCACCCTAGAGATGGCTACCATTAGACACAAATGTGTATACATATGTAAAATCATTCTGTACATCTATTTATCAGTTCTTTCTCTGGATGCACATAACATCTTCTTTCACAGATCCTTTGTATTTGGGTATTTATAATAGTAAAAATGACTTAGTCACTCAAAGTTCTTAAAATAACAGTGCTGTTACTGTATACAATATTCTCTTAGTTTTGCTCATTGTGCTGTTTCATTTTTTTGTGTAAGTCTCTCTATGTTTTTCTAAGGCCATTGAGTTATTCCATCATAGTCATATACCAAAACTTGTTCAACCATTCCCCAACTGATAGAAACAAATTAAATAAATCATTTGGAATAATAGGCAAAGAAGAGGTCCTATCAAACTTTTTTTATGAAACAAATAATACTGATACCTAAACCAGGAAGAGTAAAAATAGAGAAAGAAAATTATAGACCAATTTTGTTAATGAATGTGGATGCAAAATCCTAAATAAAATACTAGCTAAAAGATTACAACAATTTATTATAAAGATTATACATTATAACAAATAGAGTTTTATACCAAGAAAGCAGGGATGGTTTAACATAAGGAAAACTATTAACATAATTGATTATATCAATAATAAAAGTAACAAAAATCATGTGATTATATCAATAGATGCAGAAAAAGCTTTTGATAAAGTACAGCACTCATTTCTTTTAAAAACACTTGAAAGTCTAGGTATAAATGGATTTTTTCTTAAATTGATATAAAAAGCATTTATCTAAAACCATCAGAAAGTATTATTTGTAATGATGATAAGCTCGAAGTCATCCTTGTAAGATCAAGTGTGAAGCAAGGATACCCATCTTCACCAATATTATTCAATATTATATTAGAAATCCTAGCAATAGTAATTAGAGAAGAAAAAGAAATAGAAGGTATCAGAATAGGAAACAATATAATGCAACTGTCTCTTTTTGCAGACTATATGATGATATACTTGGAAAATCCCAAAGACTCAACTAAAAAGTTAGTTGAAACAATGAATAATTTTAGCAAAGTAGCAGGATGTAAAGTAAATACTCATAAATTGTCAGCATTCCTATGTATTACAAAGAGAACCCTGCAAGCAGAGATAGTAACTCTAGATGGTATAAAAAACCTGGGAGTACACCTGCCAAAACAAACTCAGGAATTAAATGAACAAAATTATAAAAAAAAACCCAACCCTTTATATAAATAAAATCAGATTTAAATAATTGGAAAAATAGTAATTGTGGGTAGGTGGGGCCAATATAATAAAAAAAATGACAACTTTATCTAAACTAATTTATATATTCAATGCCATCTCAATTAAATTACCATAAAATTGTTTTACTGAGTTAGGAAAAAATCAAAATACATTTAGAAGAGCAAAAGGTCAAGAATATAAAAAAAAACTAAAATAAAATGTAAAGGAAAGTGATTTAGCAGTATCAGATCTCAAACTACATTAGAAGGCAATAATTATTAAAACAATCTGGTACTAGCTAAGAAATTGAAAGGTAGAACAGTGGAACAGGGTAGACATACAATTTACAACAGCAAGTGACTATAGTAACCTTGTGTTTGACAAGTGTAAAGACTTAAGTTTTGGGGATAAGAATTCATTATTTATTAAAAATTGTTGGGAAAGCTGGAAAGCAGCCTGGCAGAAATTGGGTATAGATCAAGATCTTACACCATTTATCAAGATAAAGTCAAAATGGATACATGACCTACATATAAAGAGAGATATTACAAGAAAATTTGAAGAATATGGATAATACCTATCAGACTTATGGATAGGTGAATAATTTATGAATAAATTTTATATAAGTAAAACAAATGTAGCCAAGATCAGTAGGAAAGCAGAAAATTGGGGGGGGGGTTTATAGACAGTTTCTCAGATAAAGGTCTCATATTTCAAATGTATAAAGAACTTTGGCAAATCTATAAGAATATGAATCATTCCCCAATTGATAAATGCTCAAAAGATAGGAACAGGCAGTTTTCCAATGAAGAAATCGAAACAATTTATAGTCATATGAAAAAGTGCTCTAAATCATTATTGACTAAAGAAATGCAAATTAAAACAATCAAGATATCATTTTATATCTATCAGATTGGCTAAAATGATTGAAGGAGAAAACAACAAATGTTGGAGGGGATATGGAAAAATTGGAACACTAATTCACTGTTGGTGGAACTGTGAACTGATTGAACCATTTTTTTTTTTTTGGCTAGGCAATGGGGTTAAGTGATTTGCCCAGGGTCACACATCTAGTAAGTGTCAAGTACGTGACGCCAGATTTGAACTCAGGTCCTCATGACTCCAGGGCCAGTGCTCTATCCACTGTGCCACCTAGCTGCCCCTGATTGAAGCATTTTGGAGAGCAATCTGGAATTTTGTCCAAAGAGTTATTAAACTGCCTATAGCCTTGGACCCACAAATACCCCTACTAGGTCTGTTTCCAAAGATGATTAGGGAAAAAGAAAAAGAACTTATATGTTCTAAAATATTTATAGCATCTCTCTTTGTGGTGGCAAAAAACTGGAAATTGTGGGGATGCTCACTAAATTTTCATTGAAATGAATTGTTTCATGTCTGACTCTTTGTGACCCCATTTGAAGTTGTTTTGGCAAAGATGCTGGAGTGGTTTGCCATTTCCTTCACCAGCTCATTTTAGAGATAAGGAATCAGAGGGAAACAAGGTTAAGTGACTTGCCCAGGGTCACACAGCTGGTAAGTATCTGAGGCTGAATTTGAACTCAGTTCTTTCTGACTCCAAGTATGGTGCTTTATTCACTGCACCACTTAGCTGCCCCAATTTTAAAATGTCTTAACTTTTGCAAGAACAAAAAACAAATTCCTTGCCTCTTTGTTACGGGAGATAGGCACTGTATCTGTAATTTCACTGCTATAGGAAACTTGGTGAGGAAACTCCTTCTACCAATCCAAGTTGGTACCTGCTCTGCAATTTACAATTTTAAGAAAGCTATTGTGGGAAATGATTAATTTAGACCTCTATTTTGTTTAGACCCCTGGTTAGCATTATTCAGTTGAGTTTGATTCCATAGGGGCAGTGATTATTATTATTGTACTTGTCTATTGATATACAGTTAGTCCATCTAGTGAATCTACTTGCTTAACCAAGGCCTAATGAGTAAATGACTGAGCCCAGTGTGGTGGAGGTGACTCAATGGCATGGAAATTCCCCTAGCTATTTTTGATTGTACCTCCACCCTTGTTATCCCTTCACTAGGAAAACAGCCCTATGGCACTTAGCCAATAGGTCCTATGAGTACTTGAGTACTTGACCAGTGGGTGGACCTATCTTCACATTGCAGGAGCTGCCTACAAATCTCTTCCCCTGTCTATTGCCCAACATGGGGCCAATGAAAGACTGTCAGCTCTGCCCATATTTAGGTATCTTCTACCAGCTAATCTGTGCAAGCATGAGCTGAAGGTTCTCCTGGAAGGAGATAGGTCTATCAACCAACAAGACTGTGTTTTACTTTGTCTCTTCTGTATCATCTGGATAGCAAGCACTATAAAACTAAGACTTTAAGGAAAGAGGGCATCTCAGATCTTAAGGAAGATCTGAGGTCCACTTCATTAGAGGGACCATGGATCCTTAAATAAAGTGCTATTGACTCAGAGCTCTACCTCAGTTTCTTTTATTGCAGATTAGATAATTTTGAACTCCACACTACCTAGAATAGTGAGAATTCAAGTGATTTGCCCAGAGTTACACATCCAGTAGAAACAAAACTACAACCCAGATCTTATTGACTTTGAGATTAGCTCTCTTATCAACTATAAACATTACCTTTCATCTTTCGCTCATTTATTGTAATTCAAATACACTGAGATCATGGCTCCTTACTAAAGCAGGGCTTCAGAATGAAAACAAAAAAACCAAAAGCTTCTGAAGAGGCAGAGGGGAATCCTGATCTGTATTAGGAAGTTGAAGGGTAGAAAAAAATGACAGAGAAGAAAAGGAATGAAAAGGAATGAAAAGGACCACCAAACACTTGGAGCTAAATAATAGATATTAAACTCTTTGCTACAGAGTCTATACATCTTATAGAGAGGATACATAAAGACTGTTGATTATTAAGGGTTAATAATACATGTTTGAAAAGAGTTTTTAATGAATTTTTAATAATGAGTAAATGGGTAGGAAACAAATAGGAACTAAATAAAATCTTTTGTGATCTTTTTTAGGTTCGTTGTGAACCTGAGATCCAAGAATTGCGCCAGTGGCAGAAGCAACTGAGGGAAGATAATCACATACATCAGAGAGTGAAAGAATTCTGGGCTAAACAAGAAAAAAAAGGTCAGTCTTTACCTGATTCAGAACCTAGTTGTTTATTCTCAAACAATAGTATCACTCTTCTGCCATCCCCAAGAGAGATTTTTTTTTCCTGGAATTCAAAGGATCATTCATACAGCATTAATCTTCCTGGACCTCAAATACTCCAACTTGGGAATGACTAAATGTGAAAATCCCATTATGGAAAGATAAAGGTGATGAGGTACAATTAATCTGGCAGTTTTCCCACTCAGACACGAACGTATGTATCTGTTAGGCTGACAGCTTTTGCTCTTTCCAATGGTGACTTTTACAGGCTGTGAGATAAGGCATTCCTATCATTTAGCACACACAATACTAACTTATTAAGAAGTTACTTTTTATGAGTTGTTGATCTAATCCCAAATCTGAACTCCTAAATGTCACCAAAAAAACCCCTTTAAAATAAATTGAATGTATGTGGAAAATGTATTCTGGCTTTAAAAAAAAGTCTTTTCCAATTCCCAGGATGGACAAGCAGTTGTTATATTTGCCAATATGAAATAAGAAATATTTGTTAAAAAATCATAGACTGTTAGAGCTGAAAGGGACCTTGGAAAGTACCCATTCTAAGATAAGGAGATAGGACATAAAGTAGGTAAATGACAACTGACTAGGAACTAGTTACCTGAGATAATGTTTTTAATAACTGTATGGATAAGTAAAATGCAAAAATATCTGAGACTTTAAATTAATTAAAAGGATTTTTCCAGATCATGCCACACCTTATCCCATTCACATCATTGTAGAAATGTAAAGTTCTATCTGCATTTTGGCAACTTGATTTTTAGAGATAGCAGTTTCTCAGTATTGGCAGAGAATAAAGTAGTGTGGATAGGTTAATTTTCCAGACAACTGAAGCATATACCTTTAACAACCAAAATTTTAATTGATTTTGCCTTTAGCCTTTTTAAAAAAATACATCTCTGGGTCATCTTTGTGAATGTAAATTATATTCTGTTTAATGTGGTGGTTTCACTGGAGATTTTCAAAGTATGACAGCACTTGCACTCCAGTCCTGTGGTCCCTTTCCTACTTCCCAGTCTTTCAGCTATCACTAACAGTGGCTCAGTAATCATATCTCGCAAGGTTCCCCGCCCCCCCCCAACCCCACCCCACTCCAGGATGTAGATCATCTGGGCCGGATGACTTGAATTCATCAAGGGTAGCTAGCTGCTTCCTTACTATCTTCTAATTTGTAATGGGTATTAACTATTAACCTTTTTTTAGTTTTGTTTCTTCCTTCTGAGTCCAAAGGCCATTCATTCTCCTTGACTAAGAAAACAGAAGCAAAAAAAGAATTGAAGTATTTGTTTTCTCCCTCTTTTTGGTTATCACTATCCTATCCACACTGTGAGGGTTTTATTCCTTCTCTGTTCCTCCTTATTTTCTCAATATAGATTTTTGCAGGGGGTGGGGCTCATGGGGGTAGTGGTGGAGGCAGTGGGGTTAAATGACTTGCCCAGGGTCACACAGCTAGTGTCAGATTTGACTCCTGGACTGGTGCTTTATCCATTGTACCACCTAGCTGCTCTCTCAATTTAAAAAAAATACTTTTTTATGTTGTTGTTGCCTAGATTTCCTGGCTAGCTTTTTCTTATTCTGTACTTTAGCCTTTCTATCACTCTCCTCACAGTGCTGTGCTGCCCTTTTATGTTCATTCTCTATTACTGGCCCATGTTTCTATTCTCTTTACCTATCTTTTAAAAGTCTAATTTGGTTAGGGAGTTCTCTGGGCATCTACATCAGTCTCTTCAGGCAACTTTTTTTTTTCCTTTTCACTGAATTGTTTCCCTTTTTGTTTTTGGAATTTCATTCTGGAGAGTTTCTCCACTCCTCCTAAGCTGACTTCCCCTGTAGAATTTTAGTCTATGCAATCCTACTTATTCCCTCTCTGAGCTACTTGAAATTTACTTTCCCTAAATCTAGGGTGCATATCAGACTATTTCTAGCTTTCCTCTACATCTCTATCATAAACTCTAGTAGAGACTGGTCACTGATCCCAAGATTCCTATCATTTCCCAGCAACTAGTTCCTTCCTATTAGTGAGAATCAGATCTGTAATAGACTATCTCCTTGTGCATTCCTTCACCATTTGAGGAATATAATTATCATTAAGGTAATTCAATAAGTTATTGATTGCTTTGTTTTTTGAAGAGAAAGCTCTCCAAAATATATTTGGATAATTGAAATTCCCCACCCTTTTTATATCATGCCTTATGACTTGTTTTACAAATTCCTGATTCATGTCCTCTTTCTGTCCTGGTTGTCATTATACTATATTCCAATGACAAAATTATTTTTGTTTCTTCTTCCATTATTATTCACCAAGATGCTCTCCACCATGCTTTATCTCTTTGGTTCCTGGATTTCCTAACATGATTATAACTTCTTTTTTTTTTTTAACCTGAGGCAATTGGGGTTAAGTGACTTGCCCAGAGTCACACAGCTAGTGAGTGTTATGTGTCTAAGACCGAATTTGAATTCAGGTCCTCCTGACTCCAGGGCCAGTGCTCTCTCCACTGCACCATGTAGCTGCCCCCTGATTATAACTTCTTAATAGAAAATGCCACTCCCCTTTATCCATCTGGTTTCTTTTGAATAAAATATGCTTATCTTGTAGTCAGTTATGGACTGTTACCCTACCAAGACTTAGTGATACCTATGAGATAAAATTCTGCCTCCATGTAGTAGGACCTCTAGTTAGGGGTGTGCTGTTAGTGGCTCTCTGGAAAGTATGCATCGTATACTTTTAGGTTCTTGTTGTCGTTCAGTCATTTTTAATCATATCTGACTCTTTGTGACCCCGTTTGAGGTCAAAAGACACTGGAGTGATTTGCCATTTCTTTCTCCAGCTCATTTTACAGACGAAGAAACTAAGATAAACATAGTTAAGTGATATGCCCTGGGGTCACACAGCTACTAAGTGTCTGAGGCTAGATTTGAACTCAGGTCATCATGAATGCAGACCTGACACTCTATTCACTGCACCACTTAGCTACTCCATTTGCCACTCTATTCTAATTCTTGGCACAGTGGGTAGAGGGCCTCAGTTTCTTCATCTATAAAATGAGCTGGAGAAGGAAATGGCAAATCACTCTAGTATCTCTTGTCTAAAAATCCAAATCCCTTTATTATACAACTAATTGTCCATAGATCCCTCAATAAGAAGCATTATGAGACGTCATATGCTTCCCACAGCATCAGTATTGCTTGTGACAAATCAATAATTTCAGACTGAGTGAGAACAAAGATAGGAAGCAAGTAGATAATCTGTCTTTTCCTTCATTCTTGTCTTTGTCTCGCAGTTCTTGGCACATAGTAGGTGCTTCATAAATGTTGCTGAGTGATCACTTCCTTATTCACTCAGCAACATACTTGAAGTTTAGGGAGGGGGAGAAGACATGTTGTGGAGATGTCAAGAAGGGAGATGGAAGCTCAGAACTGGGCAAAATAAGGAGAACATTTATGCCCAAGGAGGTTCCAGGTTTGGAGTTCAGTGTTGCTGTAGGAAGGAGGTGGGAATGCAGGTAAGGCATAGAGATGGCCCAGAAGTACAAAATGCCGTGTGACCTCAGTTTCTTTACAAAAGTAGACATTTATATGTCCTTTGTGTATAATGAGCTACAGTGGGTACTGGTGAGATAGACCAACTAGCTGGGTGACCTAATGGAAGTCACTGCATCTCTTGGGTCTTGGTTTCCTCATCTATAAAATAGGGAGTTGGACTGATGGGGTTGGGATCTGGACCCCAGAAAGGAAAAACCCTGGACTTTCCCACATGGCCAAATCTGTGGCTTTTGCCTGAGGCTATAATCCCATCAACTGGCCTTTCATTGTGGCTAGGTCCAGTCTCCCAACTCTCTGTTACCCCTAACCTAGTTTAGCCCTCCATTATTTTACTTTCCCAGCCACTTCCCACCCTTAATCCTAGCCAGGCCCCTGGCAATCTATTACCTCACAGTCCCCGAGGACTACTTAGCCACTCCTAGGTCTCTTCCACAGTCTTTCTGTATATTCCATTAAGGTGCTCAGATTATTATAATCTAGCCCATAGCTCAGTAATGTTCAGATTCCTTATGAGTCTGGCCAATATGGTGAATGTTCTAATAAGCCTTGTCTTTGGCTGAAAGTAGGGTTGGGTTGAATTCTTTTGGGCAGGACCTGCATGTTGTGATTTTGGGGTCCCAGCACCCCTAAACCTCTAAACCTCAACAAGACAGAATGACCTTCAAAGCCCTTTTCAGCTGTGACATTTTATGATCCTTTATTTTTCAGCCACTGATGATTTCTTTGCATGGGTCTGTTATCTGTGGAACAGATGCACTTCTTTAACAGTTTCAGATATGAAAGTGATGCCTTAACATTTGAAATGCCAAAGAAAGTGCTACTAATTATCATTACTTTTTAATTTCTTATTAAACAATATATAATATATAAAATATAATATGTGTATTATATATATCTGTCATATATAAAAGATAGCTTTATAATACCTTCTTTTCACTAATAATGAAAATAATGATAATAGAGAACTAGGTCTAGAGAATAAGGTCATCTTTTTTCACAGCATTGACTATCTGTACCCTGTAGTTTTCTTCTATCTTGAACTGGTCTTAGTTTTTACCAGGACTCTTTTTAAGGCAACTGCTTGATAGCCCCTTTCTCCCTCCCTCCCTTCATTCCTTCCTTCCTTCCTTCTTTCTTTCCTTCTCTCTTTCTTCAAATGCTAACTCTTGACATTGGGTAAAGCTTCTTGTCCTATCACACTCAGTCTAAAAGTAAAGAGGATTCGATCAAAAGGGAGAAAATTCTTCTGTTAAGACTTCCCTTTCAAATTTGAGGTTAATTAGGAAGGAGACTTATGGGAAGTTTAAGCTTTTATATTAGGAAGGAGTGCTCACTAAAGACTAGAATACTCCTTTGGCTTCTCTGTCAAGAGACACAGCTGCTTAGTCTTGTTAGAGGTACTTCCCATCCCTCCA